TATGGGGGTGTGTCAGAATATTATCTTATTGTTCTAGCCTGTAGTGGGGTGCTCTATAGCGAGTACAACCCTTCTAGGGTTTGCTATTTGTATCCTCATTCTTGCTAGTTCAATCCTCTTTCTTTCTTCCTTCAAACTTTGACAGGGGGAGCCAGCCATAGCCTCATCAACACTGCTACAGCACGAAAACTGCGACTGCCACTGAACAGATGTTTACTTGAGGCTCCTTACCCTGCCTTCCTCCAGAATCAGTTCCTCTAGGCGATCCCTCAAATCTTTCTGCACCGCTTCGGCGTGGCTGCCAGAGACCCTGCGACCTCGGCTGTATTCCACATATAGTTGTCGAATAAGCCAGCTGCAGGGCAAGGGGGTCGCAAATAATCAATAACATGCGTCCATGCAAACCGCACATCTGATTAAGGAGTGACACTTACTCGAACACCTCCTTGGCATGGTCGCTGTGGCGATGGGTTGGGATTGGAGATTTAGGGTCGAAGTGTAGCACACGTGTACGGTACTCTCCACGGGGATGTGCTAACAAATCTTGCGGGTTCATGAGCACCATGAGACTGATCGCCGACGAGTGAACAACAGGGACTCTGCGGTACATCGAAGTTTGGATTAGCAAGATAAGCTGGTGTCATCGACAGACGTTGCGGATCTATGTCAAGAAACTCACTGTGATATCATGGGTAATAAAACCATCTGGTAGTCCAACAGCGGCTGATGTTCGCTGCCACAATTGGGGACACACGGGATGGCATACCTTAAAACACCGATGCTCAGTAGGAGCCAGAATCTTTATGTCCCTCCGAACGCAAGGATCCCCGATCTTGTCCTTGGCAACCTCCCTGCATCCAAGTCGACATGTCGTAGAGGTAAGAAGATAGCAGGTGCGTGTCTAAAAATACAAGGGTTTAACGTGTCGATGAAGTCGGCGTGCGTTACAAACCGCGCTTGGATACATACACAAGGCCGAAAAGTAACAACGCCTCATTCCACTCTTCCTGACGAACGTCTAACATTTCATAAGACTCCCGCCCTAGTCGTACAGACAATCCGCAGCCATCTGTGATCAACTGGGACGACATCGCGTAAGTAAGCCAGAAGATGGCATGTAGCTATACGGTTACTACCATACACTGTCCGCCTGCAGGATTTGAGGCCGACACTAGAATGAGAGGGAAGCTTGTGAGGAGGCTAGTTGTGGAACCAAGACCCAGATTGGAATGGCGAGAATGACCTTGAGCTTTGGTGCACCCACCCTGATAACAACTTCTGCTTCGCTGGTAAAATTGGTTGTGCTCTCGTCCTCACAGAATGTGGCAAAGGCTTTGCTACAAACGCCAGGCGTAGTAAGACTTTTCTGCCCCCTACATAAAAATATTAGGCTTCTCACCATTTCCCTTCGAACATCTGCGAACTACTCTTTGCATCCTTCTGCAGTGATTGGCCTATTTGTCGCCAGATTGTTCTCCTAAATGTTCTACTTCAATTGTTGGTTGGTTGATAGCCAACCTTATATGCCATGTAAGCATATTGCATGTTCTGCGGTGCATTGCATGGTCTCAGCTTTGCCTCGACCTAGTACGAAATGGTGACGGGCAACCCCTAAAAAAAAAGAAAGGTGTCATGTGACAGGTTCATGACAGGCTGCCACGTATAACTATCCCATCCACATGGTTCCCTCCGCAACGTGGAAAAAGAGCAGTCTCTGCGACCTGTCACACGTGTCAGAAACCGAATGACCGTGTACATCCCATAGTACCGCTATAGGGGTACTCACGTAGCACGTACAGTGCTAGTTTTTGTAACCCATAAAACAAACACAAGCATGAACTTTGCATGATTAGCACACCCAATTCTAAAACGGATAATCCTATAAGTGTGAGATGAGTGCCCTATCAATAAGGGCTCATTAGCACCCGTATAACAATGGCATTTAAATACAAAACAAATGTTGTACATTTCAACAAAGTGATCTGCTCCCGCCTGCAGAGAAGAGCATGAAAAACATATCAAACCTCTACGAAATGAGATGAATTTCATAGGGGAGTCTGGAATATGTTTCGTGAGAGTCCCCTATAAAAATCAGCTCATTTGCCAAGGAGAAGTGGGTGATTTCAATTGCAACCTGATTCAAGGCAATTCTGCCGACTGCTGCACAACAAGGCTTAAAAACCATATCAAACCTTGGGAAAATGAGATGAATTTCATGTGGAGGTCTGGAATATGTGTGGTGAGAGTCCCCTATAAAAATCAGCTCATTTGCCCAAGGAGAAGTGGGTGATTTCAATTGCAATCTGATTCAAGGCAATTCTGTTCAGAATTCTGCAGACTGCTGCACAACAAGGCTTAAAAACCATATAAAACCTTGAGCAAATGACGTGAACTTCAGAGGGGAGTCTGGGGTATGTGTGATGAGTGTCCCCTATAAAAATCAGCTCATTTTCTCAAGGATGAGTGGGTCAGTTCAATTGCAACCTGATTCCAGGAAATTCTGCACTGAATTCTGCAGACTGCTGCACAACAAGGCTTAAACACCATAACAAACCTTGGGAAAATGAGGTGAATTTCAGGGGGGAGTCTGGAATATATGTTTTGAGAGTCCCCTATAAAAATCAGCTCATTTTCTCAAGGAGAAGTGGGTGATTTCAATTGCAACCTGACTCCAGGAAATTCTGCACAGAATTCTGCAGACTGCTGCACAAGAAGGCTTAAAAACCATATCAAACATTAGGCAAATGAAGTAAATTTCAGAGGGGAGTCTGGAATATGTGTGTTGAGAGTCCCGTATAAAATTCAGCTCATTTTCCCAAGGATAAGTGGGTGATTTCAGTTGCAACCTGATTCCAGGCAATTCTGCACAGAATTCTGCAGACTGCTGCACAACAAGGCTTAAAAACCTGATCAAACCTTAGGCAAATGAGGTCAAATTCAGAGGGGAGTCTAGGATATGTGGGATGAGTGTCACCTATGAAAATCAGATCATTTTCCCAGGCAAAGTGGTTGATTTCACAAGAAACATGGTTCCAGGCATTTTTGCTCAGAATTCTGCACCCGCCTACAGAATATAATATGAAAAGCATGGCAAACCTTGATGAAATGAAGTCAAGACTGGATGGGGATCAGGACTAGGTGTGATGACAGTGCCCTATCAAAATGGGCTCATTTTCCCAAGGAGAAGTGGGTGATTTCACCTGACACATCACACCAGGCAACTCAGCACTAACTTCATTGCAAGAAAAAGTCCACCAAATCAGTTTGCATAGAGTTGAAAATGTTCAGGGGGGCTGGAACAGGTGTCATAACACTAAAAATGCAAAAAAATATGGTCACCACATAACACATGTGTGTGATGCCCAGAGAATGACTTAACATGTGCTATGAGCAACCCTAGTTGACCAAAAACTGACAAAATGTAACAAATTTGACAAAATAACAAACTCATGCCCGCTGGTAGAGGACATCAAGGAGATGTTGGAAATCTATATTTGTGTGCAAATTACCAACAAATTATGGAGTTATGAGCCAAACCATGTAGAATTTTGACTTAGCCATTTTGACATTCTGCTTGTCAGAATTACACTTAAGTGTCAACAACAAAGTTTATATACAAATACTGTAGAACAGTGGTTGCGACGTCGCTTTCGTGCGACCGTCGATAATCCAAACCGGTAGTGTAACCAATCTTGCGCCCATTTCGTTGCGCCATGGTGGTTTGGATTTTGTAAGGTCCAACACCCTTTTGCGCCGAATCCGAGTCAAATCCGTATCGCCACGGGCAAAATGGAGTTTCGCCAAAAAAAATGAATCCCGGTCGAAGCAGAGGATCCGAGTGCTGCTTCCGCCTTTGGCCCGCCCTTCCCCCGTCAGGTGGTTTGGATTTATAGGAATTCGCGCCAGGCAGGCCAGGGTGGCCGGCACCAGGTTGGGACCTTGCCTGCCGGTCCAGAGTCCTATACTATTCTAGGCTTACCTGCGGGGCGCCCACAGAAGCATAGCATGGTCTCTCGTTTTCCCTATCGGGTCTAGTAGGGCGTACTACAAAGGGGTAGCACACGGCACATCCAGCTCGTACTGGATGACGTTGTTCGAACTGTGAATGGAAGATATCGTACGAATGCTGCCCCTGGTCTGTTTTGTGTCCTCCCAGAAACCAAGCTCGAAAACGAAGTCCGTTTCGCGAGGGTCCACGACAGTGTCATGTTTGTCGCCTCTTGTGCTTCGTCACATTTTGCCGCCATCAGAATGATCGAGTTCGAACTTGAAGTGTGGCCACCTGGTTCGAGTTTAGGCCGTTTTCGCCGATGTGCCGCGTCCTTAGCAAGCAGGAGCTTGTGTTTTCTTGACTTCGCAATTTGATCCAGCCAGTGGGGGTTTCTTTCCTGCCCGCGGGCAGTTGACGGCCGGACATCGCACTGTCGCCCTGGGAGCATTGGCCGGCTAATCCCCTGATACACACGGCAGAACATCATGGTTCTGAAATTCTCCGAGCTCCAGTCTGCGCTCGTCAATGGTTCAGGTAGTTTTAGTTCAAGTTGCAGATGCAGCCCGTCACTCAAGGTGCCCATGATGGACCCGACCCGACCCAACGATTACGGCCAGGTTGAACCTGGTTGCTCTGCCTGGGCCTTGCTGCGCGCCCTGCGCGGACATAACAGCAGGCAGGCAAGCCCTTTCCATCGCTTCAGAAGAACACGGCACGGACCGCGGTCCCGCGGATGCAACGAGGTGGTAGTGAGCCTCCGGCGCGCAGGAAGTGGGTTTCATTTTATGTGCGGGTTGGGGGAGAAGAGACTTCCCCCGAGGGGGAGGATGAACTGGGACTGCACACCCTCTGCGCCAATTTCCGATATTTTCCGCGTCAACCTCCGATAATTGCCGTCCGCCAGCTCCGGAACTCGCGGATGTCTGCTCCGCGGCCTTCCCTCCCCAGTTGTTGCGGCAGCGGGGGTTTCGCAGCATCACTGGCGGCACCAGCACCCGTGCGCGTAGCGATGACGAACTATATAAACCCACTCGTCCCCCCGTCCATACGTCCAGTTTTTGAACGCACACTCCGCATTCTTTCACTGCACACGTCCCTACCTTCCCCACCACTTGAAGCCGGTGCGTCCGAGTGCTGGGTCAGTGCTTCTTTCCGAGTCGGAAAGGCGGCTCCTGAACGTGGCCCCACGCAGCCTCTTCAACCCTCAAAACCTCGCAGTGCGTTGCGCGCCGAGTCGAGGAGCTAGATCCAGCGCGTCTCAAGCTCAACATCTCGTTGCGCGCCGTCCGTCGTCGCCATGGCTCGCTCGCTCTCCGCCATCGCGCTCGTCGCCACTGGCCTGCTCGTCCTGCTCGGTACGCCCCACCCAATTTTTTTCATGCTCATTTGTTCCATGGCGTGTTTCGTTCTGTCTTCTACTCGTCGTCTTTTCTTTCGCAAAAAAATCGGAACCCTATTTCGGTTGGGTTTTTTTCCGGTTTGCGAACGGTATGCGCAATCGATTCGGTGAACGGTACCGTTCAGCCTAGTGAATAGTAGCAATTGTGTGTTGTTAATGTTTACATCGGAAATTTTGACTTCATGTTTGACAGTTGTGAAAGTATTTTGTTTCCAAACGCAATCGTATTTTGACGCCATTGAGTACTTGTTTGTTCCTTATCTCTTGTTTCTCTCCAAGGAGTCCTTTCTCCCACGTTCTCACAATTCGCATTGCATCAGCGTCTCTCCTCCCTCCCTGCCCGTATTTTCCCTCCCCCCTGCCTCTCCTTCCCCTCCCCTCCCCCCCTGCCTCGCCGTGCACGGTGTCCGATCGTCGGGTGCTCCTCAGCCGCAACCCACGTGGAGGTACGCGTCTCTCTTTTCCCGCCCTCGCCTCATCAATCTTTGACCTGCTACCGCTTGCTGCGCTTTTTTGACCTCTCCGTTCTCTCACTCTCCCTGCTTCACAAGCTCTCCCTGCCTCGCTCTCCCTACCTCGCTCTCCCTGCCTTTCCTGGCCTCCCTGCTTCTCCTGCTCCCTTCTCCTGCTCTTCCTGCCCTTACTCTGTATTTGCGTGCTAATTTTCAGAACCGCGTTTGTCTTCCTGCCATTCTCCTCCTCAATCCCACTCCATTTCATCCCACTCCTTCCCACTCCTCTTCCCACTCCCTCCACTCACCCCTGCACCCCACGCGCGCAGGCGCGGGACATAGTGGTGGGGGGCAAGAACGGCTGGACGTACCAGCTGAACAACTGGAAGCCCAACCTGCCCGCGCGCGTAGGCGACGTGCTTGGTGCGTGCCCCTCACAGGCGCCGTCGTTCCTAACACCTCCCTTGCTCACGGTCCTCTGCTCTCGCTCGTGAATGCAATCCCCCGCAGACTATACAAAGGGGTTTGTCTAATCTCTAAAACAATTGCCGGTGGTAGCTGTGCAGTGCTTGCAGAAACTACGATGAGTGAGTCGCTGATAAAGTGCCTGCCAGGTCCCCGTGCCTCGTGCTTACACAACACCATCCTCACTGAGAGCTGGCCTTTGGTCGCCATCCTCACTGAGAGCTGGCCTTTGGTCGCCATCCTCACTGAGAGCTGGCCTTTGGTCGCCATCCTCACTGAGAGCTGGCCTTTGGTCGCCATCCTCACTGAGAGCTGGCCTTTGGTCGCCATCCTCACTGAGAGCTGGCCTTTGGTCGCCATCCTCACTGAGAGCTGGCCTTTGGTCGCCATCCTTACTGAGAGCTGGCCTTTGGTCGCCATCCTTACTGAGAGCTGGCCTTTGGTCGCCATCCTTACTGAGAGCTGGCCTTTGGTCACCCGTATCCCGCGTTGTCCCGTCCCGTGCGTCCTATGGCAGTGTTCAAGTGGGTTGGCAAGCACGACGTGTGGCAGATGAACACTCCCTTGGCGTACCGGACCTGCAACTTCCGGCCCGGCGCGGCTAAGAAGCTGACGGGGCAGGTCACTGGCGGCAAGTACAGGTGAGCAGCACCGAACAGCGCAGCACAGCAGAGCAGAGCAGAGCACAGCACAGCACGCATCTGGCATGAGCAGTTGACCCCAAGGGCATGTGTGGTACAAAGGTTTAAGGGGAATCCTTTGGAAGCTGGGCCTTTGCTGCTGCCACTAGAAACCAGGGAAAAGAGCTCTGGCTGTTCTGACGGGCGTGCTTTCCACAGTGCAAGACCGTCTTGTCCCGAGCATCATTTCTGAATTTCGTTTATCGTGTTGCCCCTACCTGTCTGACTGGTATTCATCTCCCTTTCAGGTTTGTGGTGCCGGCCACAGCCAAGGGCAAGACCCTGTACTTCGGGTGTTCCGTGGTGTACCATTGCGAGGGCATGATGAAAGTGGCGATTCCGGTTCAGGCTTGAGCCCAGCAGCATGCACTCATCTGTGCCTCCTTGCCGCCTTAGGGTGTTCCTGCCATCAGGGGCGTGCTTGTGTGACAGCACTGCTTGTCAAGGGAGATAGTGTATGATTGTATTGTTGGATAGCCTGTAGTGAGTTGCATGCTAGGGGGTAGAGGGAATCACCCGACACTCCTTGTACCCCTCCCCTTTGACCTAATGCACCATTCTGCTACGTATCTGGTATCATGAGGTTACCCCCTAAACCTCTTAGTCCAAGTTAACTAACATTGTTGTCCTTCCGGTCGCCTTCCTCGTAGCCCATGCACTAACGCGCCCCGAGAGCATCCCGTTACGCGGCTCCTGTTAGTTGCGGTCCGTAAGGCCCTTCACGTACTCCTCCTATCAAGCCTAAGGCCCCGTCGTCCGCTCCCCATTCTGTCACGCTGCGGCAGGCCGCCGTGGCCTGTTTTTCCCCATGCGCTTAGGCAGGCCGTCGCATTTCTCTGCCCATACCTTAGCGTGCGCAGCAGCAGCAGTAGTGCGCCACTGCACGCCACGCACACCCCCGTGGGCCCCGTTTAGCCGCGATTTAAGGTCCTCGCAGGCCCCGTTTAGTGGCGTTTAACAGGCCTCAGCGGGCCCCGTTTAGTCACGCTCAGGAAGGCCTTTGCTGGCCTGTTCTGTCGCATCCTACCAGCGGCCAGCAGCAGCTCCAGCCGCCCACAGCCCCTCCCAGCCCCCCACAGCCCCTCCCAACCGCCCACAGCCCCTCCTAGCCAGCCACAGCCCCTTGTCACGATAGCATCTTAGTTAGGAAACCGGTTTAACTTAGGGCCTAGGCTTAGTAGCCTAGGCCAAGCGGGTGTCGAGTTGGTTGTGCAAGGGAGAATCGAGAAATGAGGGGCTTCACTAAAGGTTTGCAAGAACATACAGCAAAGAAACAAAGAAGGTGCACCACCACCAAACAAATAATGAAAGAACTACACTACAATATTACCGCAAGCAAGCTATATATTAAATACGGTATAACTTTAACACACCCCCTTAGCCTGCTTGCATTAATAACAGGTGCAGTCAACACCCCCTGAACGGGTACACCTGGCGCAGTGGAAGACGGCAGAGAGCTAAATGAGGAGGAGGCGAAAGGAAGAGAAGGAGAGGAGAGGATGTTAGAATCTAGAAGCAGGGATGAATGACTAGATCAGGGTTTGGTACAAATATGAAACCCTAATGGTATTGGCTACCCCACTACAGCCTACACATATATCATATTCATATAATTTGACACACCCCCGTAGGCATAGTGGGGGAGAGCAAGGGGTCACAAGACCAGTCAAGAGAAGCAAAGCAAGCTCAGGGTGGATCACAACGTCACCACACACACTAAGCACAAGCAAACCAAATTGGTATGGTTTTCAGACCTTGATTTTGGGTTTCACATCAGGGCTCTCGTTATCAGACCGAATTGGTATGATTTTCAGATTTTCAGAAGTTGATTTTGGGTTTCATCTGATTTTCAAGACGAGGATTTTCACTTCGTCTGATTCGTAAGATTACGAAATTTAGTTCATCTGTTTTTTCAGAGCAAGCCTAATACTAAGTCTGAAGTTTCAGATAGCGGGTTGCAATTCGTCTAATACCGAACCCACTCCCCCCCCCCCCCTCCCCGATCCCTCGCTTCTCTAAGCTCCCTTTCGATGCCCTCGCTCCTCTTCTAGGCCTAGTCCAGACCTTCTCCCCGTTCCCCCCAGCCTTGGGTCCCCTCCCCATGTCCCCTCCCCATGCCCCTCGTGAAGTCTCGCAACAGCCCAACCCCCCCCCCCTTTCTTCTTGCGTCCCTCCACCCAACCTGATCCCTCGCAACACTTCAATGCCACGTGCAAGCCTCTCAACAGCCACACGCCTGTCAGCTAGCTAGCTGTCAGCGCCGCGTGAGGGGCACTTTCATTAACAAAAACAAGTGTGATTATGCTAGACAAGGGTGTTAGCTGAATCAGACTATGCAAATAAAATAGTATGAAAAATCAGACTAAGGCCCGCGCGCCACCCCTACAGCCTCGTAAGGCCTGTGCGCCGCCCCTACAGGCCCGTCAGGCCCGTTAGCTGCCCCTGCAGGCCCGCGAGCCGCCCCTGCAGGCCCGTCAGGCCAGAGCGCCGCCCGTGCAGGCCCGTCAGGCCAGAGCGCCGCCCCTACAGGCTCGTCAGGTTAAGAGCGCTGCCCCTGCAGGCTCGTTAGGCCGCCAGCCGTCCCTGCAGGCCCGTCAGGCCCGCTACCCGCCCTTGCAAGCCAGTCAGGCCCGCGAACCTCCCCTGCAGGCCCGTCAGGCCGAGTCGCCGCCCCGCGCGTCGCGCCCGCTGCCCGCGCGTCGCGCTGCAGCCCCGCGCGTCGCGTCTGCTGCCCGCGCGTCGCGCTGCAACCCCGCGCGTCGCGTTCGGTGCCCGCGCTTCGCGCTGCAGCCCCGCGCGCCGCGTTCGCTGCCCGCGCGTCGCACTGCAGCTCCGCGCGTCGCAGTGCAGCCCCGCGCGCCGCGCCCGCAGCTCGCGCAGCGCGCTGCAGCCTCGCGCGCTGCGGCTGTACCTGTTCCTCGCGGCTGCCCCTGGACGCCGCTCTGCAGCAGCTGCCACCGTCACTCCTGCAGCGGCTGCCACGGAGCGCCCTGCCACAGTCGCGGCCCTGCCCAGCAGCAACTGCCGCGGAGCCTCCTGTCGCGGTTGCGGCCCTGCCCTACAGCAGCTGCCGTGGAGCCTCCTGCCGCGTTCGCGGCCCCGCCCTGCAGCAGCTGCCGCGGAGCCTTCTGCCGCTGTTGCGGCCTCACCCTGCAGCTTGTAAAGAAACGAGGAGCAGGCATAGAGCACAAGTTCACAATAGCGAGAAAAGCTAGAGTTAATCACAGTGGGCAAGTGAGGAGGAGGAGAAACTGTGGAGGGAGAGAAGATGGGAGGCAACGACTGAAGCTGCAGAGGCACGGGCAGAGGAGCGGCTGACTCAGTGGCAACCGAAGCAAGGGCGACGGACTACTGGAGTAACTGGCTCCGCGGCTATAGACGAGCGGCAGGAGCAACGGACCCACTCGCGACTGGTGCAACAGGCTCACTAGCTACCGAAGCAAGGGCGACGGACTACAGGCGCTGCAAGCGACACGACAGCTACCTTCACACAACCTCCTCCAGCTGCCCCACACCCTCGACACACACCCCCTGCTCAAACCCTTGTTCTACTCCCACAGCACCCCCATTTCACACACCCCTTGGTGCACCCTAGGTTCACTCACACCCCACCCCCTAGCACCACTCTGTCGACTCCCACACACCCACCCCCCTCAGCGGCAGCTGCAGCAGTGGGAGACAGAGGAGGAGGAGGAGCAGGGGAGACCACACACCCGCCACCCCCTACTCGTCACCCCCAGACCCTAACACAAGGCAGGGCGGGACGGCGGGTAGGGAGGTTACGGGGGGGGGGGGGGGCGACGCGCGGCCTCCTAGGGCGCCAAAACAGGCGGCAGAAGGGGCGACGCTCGCCCCCCCCCCCCTGGGTCGCGGCCCCCTCAGGTCGCCTCGACAGGCGACGGGAAAATAGGGGGGGGGGGGGGGGGGGTGCACGGGCCCCTGGTGCGCCGCAACAGGCAACAGAGCATGGCCGGGGCGGGGTCGGGGCAGAGTCGAGGCAGGGCCGAAAGGGGCGGCAACGGGGCCGCAAATGGCAGCGACGGGGCCGCTGGAGGCGGCGACGGGGCCGATAGGGGCGGCGACGGGGCCGCGAAGGGGCCGCGAGGGGCATGGAAGGGCGGCGACGGGCCGCTAGGGGCGGCGACGGGGCCGCGAGGGGCCTGAAAGGTCGGCGACGGGGCCGCTAGGGGCGGCGACGAGGCCGCGAAGGGGCCGCGAGGGGCCTAGAAGGGCGGCAACGGGGCTGCTAGGGGCGGCGACGGGGCCGCGAAGGGGCCTCGAGGGGCCGAGAAGGGCGGCAACGGGGCCGCTAAGGGCGGCGCGAGGGGCCGTGAGAGGGGCCTTTAGGAGGGGAAGAAAAAAAAAAAGTCCGTCGCACGCCACGGGGCGTGCAACACACAGAGTAGCAGCGGAAGCAGTTAGGTGGGCCCACAGGCAAGGAGCGTAGATGCTCAAATAGCATGTAAAGAAACGAGGAATGAAGAAGAGGGGGTTGCACTAGCAGCAGTTGGCATACATATAGGAAACCCTAATTGGGTTGTACTCGCTATAGAGTACCTTACTGCAGGCTAGACAATTATAACATTCTGACACAGCTGTCACGCCCCGCCCTGCAGGAGCTGTCGCAGACCTGCCCTACCGCCGACGCGGCCCTGCTCTGCCACAGCTGTAGCGGCCCCGCCGTCGCCGCCGTCGTACGCATGCCCTTCCCGCCACTGGTGAGCACCTACCTTGTTCGTGCGCTGCCGCCTGCCTGCGTGCCTGCCTCCCTGCCTGCCAGCCTGCCTGCCTGCTGCGCCTGCCCTGCACGCGCTGCTGCTGCTACTACTGCTAATGCTACTGCTACTGCTACTTCTGCTACTGACGGTGGCCAGATGCAGCTCCAGCGACGTCCGCGTGAGTCCCTCACGCCCCAGCAGCTTAGTGAGTGGTACGCTAGTTGGGGTTGTAGGGGTGGCCGCGCTGCTACTGCTGCTACTGCTGCTACTGCTGTTACTGCTGCTACTACTGCTACTACTGCTACTACTGCTACTGGCGGTGGCCAGATGCAGCTCTAGCGACGTCCGCGCGAGTCTCGCACGCCGCAGCAGCTTAGTGAGTGGTACGCTAGTTGGGGTTGTCGCGGTAGCCGTCGTAGCTGTCGCCCTGGAGCTGGTCATTTGGGAGAGTCTGGCAGTGGCCAGCTGCAGCTTCAGCGGCGTCCACGCGAGACACTTACGTCTCGGCAGCTTCACGAGTGGTACGCTCAGAGTAGAGGGTCTCTGAGTACCGTTTGCTGCCCGTACGTCATTCGCACTGGTGCTCGAACTGGTCAGGCTTGCGGGACCCTCAGTCACACACAGCCCCGTTGCTTC